TAATTAGAGCTAATTAAGTACAAAAACATTCAATTTTGGTCAAATTAGTAGCTAAAGCTTTACTAACGTTTCATAATATGATCATAGATTCGCTGTATACATTTTATTTGACAACACTTGTCAAATAACTTAGCAGATGTAAAAATTGATGTCAATCGGAAAAATGTTTAAGTGGTGTCACTCTTTATCGAGAGATTTTAATTAAGAACGTTTTTTTCTTTCTAGTGTGTTCGTCTCCGTGCATCTTTATCGAAAATTTGTTTTTAAAGATGGTTTTCTGTGACATGTTATTTTACATATCACTCTTTGCAAAGTAGACGAAATTCATGAATTAAAAAAATAGYGGAATTCAGCCTTTTCCCACTACCATTGAACATGAAGGATAAAATGATTTCCATGTGGACATATGTATTGACCTTTTGAAACTGCAGTTAATCTTTTTTTWATCAATTCAATATCAAAAAGAATTGGCAAGATCTTGGGTGTAAACGAGGTAAAAAGGTAAAAACTAGCGGATTATCACGAAGAAAAAGCGAAACCAAACATTCAAGCAAGCGTGAGGTCAATATCATATCAAATTAAGGCCTTCAGTTTAACGCTAAAACTCTTCAATTTAATTAAGACATATTTGATATTTCCTCAMGACAAGCAGATCTTGAGCTGAGAGCTTGCGAAACTCGGATTAGCTAGATTATGAAGAAGAAGAAGAAGTCGAGTAGACCACGCTAAAACTGTTGTGATGTATTTTTCTCTTTTGTTCATGATAGCACAGTTGAACTTTCTTAACAAAAATGACATGTCGAGAAATATGAAAAAATTGCTATAACATTGATGACCCGAAGCAAGTTCATACAAAACTTCGTGACCACTCAAGGAGAGAACAGCGATAATAAACTTACAGGAAGGAAAACATTAAGCTTATTTTTCTTCGGAGATATCACATTCTGCTGAGATTGTGRAGTAAAAGARCAATCAAGCAAGGCATTGACGTCGATATGAACTGCGAGATTCCGGATGCTATATTTTGAAAATTCTACTGAATCCATATGGCGGTGCGGATTACTGTCTGTGATTAATAGGCAAAACAAACAAACTGTAAAACTCCTGACTTAACCGTCTGTATATAAATTAACGGTTAGCTGAAAACTCTAGATCTAATTCTTTGAACAATGATAAAACCGGGTGAGTTCGAAATCTTTTCAAATTAGGAATGTTGAGTACAGAAKCGTTACCTTYTCYTCTTTTTCTTCTTGCCCTCCTTACCAGTGCTGTCATCGTGATCATCATTCTCAGACATTATCCAATATTTTCGTCAAAAGAAGCGGGTTCGTTCAGGTGTTTTTAAGTCAAATGCGCTTGTTTGCTATTCCATAAGCACAGACTGAATCGCACTTGGTATTCTATCAAGCGCCACTCGGGTTGTTGTCGAACAAAAAGCGACCCAGCATGAGTGACTAATTAAAGTCACCTTTGCTTTCGTAACATAGATTAATATTCATTGATGATTGGCTTGTCAGACCCACCTGGCCTTTGCGACCTACCGGGTATAAAATCGATCAAAACAATCGCGGAAGTGTTTAATCTAAAAGCCAGACAAGTCACGGCATATATTTGTATTAACCTGAAACCTACGGCACTTTTTTCTACGATAAATTTTCATTTCAATGGAGACAATTATTGGAATGATATTTTCCGAATTATGCAAGGTCGGTGGTAAGATCAGAGCTAGAAAAGCAAACAGATCCGCAGGGTCGCACGAGGATTGTTGTTGTTCTAGTGTGAYGCGACGAGTGATTTTTTTCTAATCTGTGACAAAGGGTACGACATTTAGCAGTTAATCCCTTTAGGTCGATAATTGTCTTGTGGTCATAACAGTTTTCATTGCTAAACGCTCATCATTACGTCATGACCGCAGGAGATTGGATCGGGTGTACTCATTCAGAGGTGCATTGACGTTCTTTCGCAAAAACACAAAACTTATGGTGCATAGACTTTTTCCAAAACACAAAATCATGGTGCATTGTGGTCTAGCTTCAGCACAAACAACCAAMCTCGTACCTAGGGCTTTCTCTTCCTCSCTATTTACAAAATGGCGGACGCAAGGTTGCACAAACAACGCCATATTTGGCAGCATGAACAACAAATGCTTGTACCGAATCTAAGCCACAATTCAATSCAAACTGCAATGGTCCAGAAAAGGCCTATGGTAACAACAAATCCAACGAMACATACCAACAAATTCTATATTATGAAGCAATTGAAAGTTCAAAACATCGGTATCATGATGATCATCATCGCCGTTTTCATCGCTATCACCAATCACATCATTCGTGTAATTGAAAAGGAAAAGAAAACTGGATAGAAATTTAAGATAAACTGTAAAAAAAACGTTTACATTACAAACTGATAAAGATTTGACAGACTTGGCTCATGGGTGTTGCCATCGTCATCAAGGTGGCCCTTGACAACCTCGTTCCCAGGGGCCTKGGAACGAGGTTKTGCTGGTGACACCTTGCCACAAAAGTAAATCTAAAGATATYTCAAGAAACAAGCTCAATCATTAATGTAGAGCTTCCATTGTAAAGAAAATAAASGCTGATAAAAATACGTCTTTTTTTCTGAATGAATACCTAATTATCAATAATTTGGGTTTCCTGTGTACCCACAGTGCATTGGGTACCGTGTCTGTTTCCAAKATGGCGGCACGTCGGCTTCTTTCTCGATGTGCAAGCCTATGGAGGGCAAAACTTGTTAGTAAACCTCTTTTAGTCCGCCAACARAGCATATTTACTAAAGTTAGAGAACCTCCAAATGGATTCCTTTTTAATGAAAAGGTAAGTTRGTAAAGAATAGGTATTTTTGTCGACATAAAAATTGACTCAATCCTCAATCTCGTGAAGAAATTGATGATAAAACTTAACTCTTAAATAGCCTCGTAAACCAGGCGAAAAAAGACCGTGGGAAGAATGGGAGGCTATCTGGTACAGATGGTGGATAATAATGTTTGTCCTTGGTGGAGTTCTGTTTTACTATAAACCYGATACCAGGTACAGTATAGGCCAAATTTGAATACCCTAATAATGATACTTTTTTAAATAAATAGCATGCGAAAAGTTCACTGTTCACAATGTTCACATTTTTTTGTATGCATTGTTGTTGTGGAAAATAACCTTGCGCATTCCTTCCCATCCTGCCAGCAAATTTTTATTTAATTTCATCCTTTCACTACTAATACAAGTATTTGACTATCACAGGCCCCAGACTTGGGCAAGACAAGAAGCGTTACGTCAGATAGCAGAGGAAGAATCTGAAGAATTGGAAGAGTGAAAGACTACATAGTCAATTGGAGTKATTTTAGACTCTTTTTGTTAATTATATGAAACAATGTTATTGACCTTGTAAATAAAGCAAAAAATTGGAAAATTTGTTTTGTTTTCTAATTTAATCTTGTGCTTATTAAAGCGTGATTGAAACACAATAATATGGTAGTGTGAACTGTCCATCATCTCATTTGGAAAAATAAGAATTTCAAWTGTTTTCCTTGGAGTCCAAATGATGGGTTTGTGCCACCTCATGCAACCTTGCATACACTGCTTTCCCATATTTTGTTTCTCTTTTATTATTTTAATGGAGCTGACTTGTCCCAATTCATTCTCTCCTATCTCCCATGTGAAAATCATCAAGGGAAGGAGAAAAGAAGAAACGTTGTCCCCTCTTCTTTTTCTACTTCCCATAAAGCTTTTTGAGACATTAGAAAAATGCGAGAGACGACTGGAGACAGGTCACTTTATGGAGTGTGCCCTCTCGAGTGCTCTGCAACCCTCCTAAAAGAGTTCTGAACTTGTTGCTTACAAAGACACACCATGGATTAAGATGCATGSACTCTAGTTTTTTCATGTATTTTCAATAAAATTAATGTAATAATTCACCAAAGTAACTTGGCSATAATGCTGCCTGAGTTATGGCTCTAAGGCAAGGAAGATGGAATGGGTGTAGGAAGAATTTCTTCCCTGATCATTTGCAGTTATGTAAAGCTTTTGAACACTGCGAACCTCTTGACAGGCAAATACAAAGCAATGGAAACCTTCATATTTTCATTTACAAAAGTCATTTGTTTATTTATGATCTAATTTTGTACATTTAAGATTTAGGTTGAGGTGGYTTTTCTTCAGCTAGGATTTCAAAATTGCTGTTTGATTGACAGCTGTCCATGTTTCCTCTGACACTGCAAATATGTTTCCGTTCACTTTGGACATCAGCTATTGCTTCCTAAGTAGATCAGAATAATTTTAGCTATAATGTACATGCAAATAGTTTACATGCTTGTTTCAAACTTGACAATCAGTTGGTTATTTCATGATGAAATCACATCAAAACAGGTTTTCATAGCCTCCTTTGCACCCTTTAAAGCCCAACYAAAGGGCAGGCTGTGTAGGAGACTAGCAGTCACTGAAAACCAGAGTTAATCTTTTGTTRTATGTCCTCATTCCTAAGGAATGATGTCAATATTTCAAAGTCACACTARAAGTGCATTTGAATCAAGAGAAGGCAATCTTGGTAATAGTGACAGCAATTATAGTTAGACAGTTATAACTGTAAAATCTATACCTCTAAATCAAGTCCAGTCAGATTTCTTTTCATGGCGTAAGCATCTTCACCATCAGCATAATATTTGGGTTCTATTTCTGATATACTATTAACAAAGTGCATTTTGATGCATCAACTCTTTATTATGTATTTGAATATGAATATGGATAATACATTATACTATTATGTTATATTTCTCACCTGAATTTCAGCGTGACAGTGTAAAGGTTTAGAGCAGCACGGTTACTAATAAAAACAGAATTACATGTATCCGTCAATATATAAACACTGAAGTTATTTTTTTATAACTACAATACAATGTTTCCACTGCATTTTTCACCTTTTTCTAACATGAAGAGAAACATACTGAGCATTGAAACATTCAACCATAGCTCTCGAAGCCTACAATTTAATGAAAAAAGAACATTATATTACATTTTGTACATGTGGGAAAAATGTATGCAGCCTTTTAATCTCACCTGCTCCATTAGCTTTTGAGCTAGTCCTAGTCTTCTGTGTGATCTTCTAACAGCCTTAAATACATAAATAGAGCCGACACACTTTATCCATGAAACTTAGTAGCACAATTATTCTTAATCCCTTTGTTTATTAACACTTTACAGAAATAAAAAGTAAAGTACAAAATAATATTATCAATAAAACATTTGCCAACATTCTATGTATAGTTAAAAACACGAGAGAGAGTGTTTTATCRGGTATACCTCGAGTGTTTWAAAYRGCTTCAAAAACTCCAACACTAAYTTGAAACTCAAATCCGTTAACATTTTTGGAGAAATTGCCGTAAAAATATATTTTGAGWTAAATGGGGCAAACTGATCATGCGCAAATCACTTTAAAAATCACTCTTTCCATYCCACATTGAATATAAATAAAGATATCAGATATAAGGGTCCATGCTTGTGGCCAAATAGGCTCATTCTATTGGCCTAATAACTCATTAATTATGTATRAGTTTTTGAAKCTATGTTTTGTGTACTATCTTTACCAGTGATGTTATGTGTCCATGCACAGCCTCATCTGGTTCATCTTCCCTATTTAACATAAGACAGAGAAAAATGATTAAATCATGAATAACTATTTGGTCGGAAGTACTTTTCACCCTTTTAATGTTTACACTCATCCTCAGGAACCCAGGGGTTATCTTCTGTCGTTCGTTCCTCACTCCCAGAAAAAATACCCCTGGGCACGAAGTCTGTTAGACCTTCTCGATTTGAAACTCAAAATGGCGGCCAGTAAGTTAGTTAACCAATCAGACTGTTTGAGTGAATCACTCGACCAATCAGAAATTTACCGGCCGCCATTTTGAATTTTGAATCGAGAACAAGGTCTAACAGACTTTGTGCCCAGGGGTATTTTTTCTGGGAGTGAGAAACGAACGACTAGTAATGGAAACACATTGTTATGGAAATTAAAATGGATGTCACCCAAGCATAGACAAGCAACCAAGTTGTTGACAGTTTTTACTGAATTATAAAACTATTGTAAGTCTTACATTTTTGCGAGGACATATCCAACTATTTTACCCTTTTCATCCTCTGCAACATAGGAAAGCTGGAAAAAAGGCAAAAATAAAAATTATTCTTAATAGCATCCTTTTTTGTTAGACACACCTACAAATCCACAGTCACAATTCCATCAGTACATGTATTTACAATAATTTTGGTACTCAATTGACTTTATTGAAAATGGCAGCAAACCAAGAATAGTACACAAAAAAGTACAAAATCCAAACAAACTTCAAATGAAGGAAGTCACAATGCAACAATTTTCYACTATAACAGCCTTAATAATTTTCCCATCGAGCATCAAAACATCAAGAGTAAAAACAGCACTGGATCTCAAAAGGAGGCCTGCAAACTGTTATTTATGCGAATTGGCATAATTGGTGATTATACAAATATTCGGATTAGAAAAGTCTGGGGGTTGACATCTCTGAGCACACAGTTCCCAATATTATAGTTAGCAGACAATATCATAGTTAGTAACTATGCCAAGTGGCCGCACAGAACTCTGGTCAGTATCATCTCATGAAATCCACATACTGAGTTGCTCATCAATTTATCATCATACTTTGCAAAAGATTGCAGCTGCTAATCTGAAGATTTGTAGTAYTGGGACCTAACTTTACCCTGTAAGAACTTAAGCTTATATAATAGGTTAATGAAGTTTACCTGAGGCCACGACAAACCATGGTAAAAATAATATTTCATCTGGTAGTTTTCAGGAAGACACAAAAGGTTACAGTGCTGCATGTTCATCAGATCTTCTGGCTATAAGATGACATAAAATATAAGTTTCTCACTTTATAGTATAAGCTTATTTGTTCGTCCATTTCAAAAGGAGAAATGGAGAAAACTGTCAACCAGTGCCTGACTTCGCTTCATTCCTATCCTTGAATTTCAGTATTTTCAATTCCTCCTTTCTAAAACTACATCGATCAAAATGAACATTTTAGACTTACCGTGGCACAGCGAATATTCATTTTCGGCAATTTAAATAATATTCCCAATATGTTTACAAGAAATCAACAACTTCCTTCCCCGGCCGTCCACATGTACTGCGCCGACTGATCTGATGGTCAGCGTTTAATGTTACCCATGAGGCACTGCGTCAAAAKKTTTTYYTT